ACTCTGTATTTCTCTGATTGACATTTCAGGCAAGCATGTGAGAATATAGTTGTCCTGCCCCATCATCTTCTCAGAACTGTCCCCATATCCTTCAGGACACGTGGTTGAAGGATGCTGGCCATTAAGGCACACTAAAAATAGTCATTGTTTAAATTGACAGAGTATAGAGGTGCCTACCTATATGCCAACCCATATGCCAACCTATAGACCCTTCTATCTGCCTTTTGACCTTCCACTAACCTTGATCAACAGAATGAATTATCTGAATATCAGTCAGATGTACTTTTTTTATTGCAATAATTCATAATGTTTAGAGAGTAATTCTTCCAAAACTGCAAGGAGAGATATGACACTAAGATGTCTCCAACAGATCTTGTTACTAAAAGCAAAACCAATGAAACAACATCTGTCTCTTCTAGAGCATTCAATTCCCAATTCAATTCCATTTACTCCGTCCTTAGAGTGGCGGACCCGCAGGGCACTTTTCATCTAATAGTGTTTCTATGGAAACGCTATTCTCAACCTGGAAGATTCTACAACCCCTCACATTGGCTTTATCCACAATGAGAAGAAAGCCTTATAAATCAGAAATCAAGACATAAATCTTGACACACACACACACACACACACACACACGCGCGCGCGCGTGCGCGCGCTTCCCAGGCTAGAAGTTCCCAAAGAGAAGAAAATGAAACAAAACCACATAACAAATATGTGTATTTCACTTAGAAACTAAGTTTGTATCTACAGTTAAGTCTTAACCCAATGGGATCGTTAAGGATGGGGAGTGGAGAGAATGTGAATGAAAATCATTTCACCTTCAGTACTACCTCCCCTACCGGCAAATGCCAAATATTGACTCCTGAATGCTTTCTTCACTTGAATCTATAGGTATGGAATCTGTAGGTATGCCTTTGAATCACCTCCACTCTCCCTAACTTTCAGTATTCCTGGGACCCACAGCAGCTCCACGCAGGAAAATATAGTCACTGCATATTTTAAATAAGAACCACATGAACCGCTTTTCTATTTAGATTATACTAAAACAATAGGGTGGAAAAACAAGAAAGAAAAAAGACTCTTGATTTTTACCTTAAGCATTACATTTATTCTTTTCCCTCATTTTCCTTAACCCCTGAACACCTATCTTTGTAACACTACGTAGCAAAAGAATTGATAATATGCAAAACACATTCAGTTTCAGCACTATGACATCACAGGCTATGTTTACAGTTGGAATAATGCCTTCAAGAAGGAGAAACAAACCTTGATATGACATACGCCCCTGAACTGATTGTGGCTGTACAGTGACTCACATGCAAATATTAAGCACTTTTTAATTGTCTGCAATAATTTATCTTCAGGCAAATGCAAGCATTTGTATTAATAAATGCTCTTATTTTCTTTCTAGTTCTCTCTTATTATTTAAATCACGTCAGTCATTCTTTTCAATTCCAGAGAATCGTTTATTTTTAAGAGAGCCTCTCTACTTATCAACACTGGCAAATATTCAACTAAGTCTAAGCTGGGAGTTTACCTCACTGAATTTTTCTCTTACCCCACCATCATGGAAGTTCAAAACTCGTTTCCTTTTTCTTTTATTGTTTTCATTATACACAGGTATGTCCAGTTTAGCTTGCTAGAGACTGTGAGTCCAAGAACGAGGTTTTAGTTCTCTCTTTGGAGTAGTAAAATGTGCTACTGATTAAATCTACCTGTGGATAACTACAGACCGGCACATTTTTCTTCTCATGCAGCTGGGGTGCAAATCCAGAAAGGTTTTTTTATTCAGGGCCTATTCTACTCCTCTAACACAAAAATGCTTTAAAGCCTTTTCAAGGGCATTTTTTTTTTTTCACTGAATAAACCCAATGAAAGGATTGATCCATTTACTTTACAAAGAAAAACATAGCAATTTGCTTTTTAAAAAGTGTGTGAGGTTTTAGAATGTGGCTTTTGGTATTTAAAAAAGATTAGTTTACAGTTTGCTAAGGAATTAGTTTTGCTATTGTTTTAATTAGTCAGAATTTCAATTGCTCTTTTATATCGAGCAAGATTTCAGAAAGGATTTTCTAGAAAAGTTGCATTAATCACATAGCAATAATGTGATCATTTAAAATTTGTACATGGGTCTTCCTAATGAACTGTGTATCCCTGGAAGCCTCTCAGAACTTGGAGGAAAGTTACTAAAGGATTAGTGCTGTGACAAACAACAAAACTCTGTTTAAATTCTACAGATTTTTTAAGAAAGGGATTGGCAGTGGTGGGAAACTGCCAGTGGGGGTCACACCTCATCAACAAGGGTACCTGCATAACGAACATTTGTATACTTAACCCTGAATTGCACCTCACATCTTCAAAATTAAAAATTAAATAAAATAAATTCTGTAGGTTTTTCCATAGAAGTTATTCCTTATTAAAAATATTACCTAAGTAGTTCATGCATTCCTTCAAGAAGGATAACAAAACAAAGCTAAGGGCGCTCCTTATAACTGGAGGTCTATTTGCTCTTGCAGTTAGAGAAGAGGAAAGAAATCTTTTTCACTGGGGAAAGAAAAGGGGTGAAAATTTTAAACATCTCCTAACTTTGCTCTTCAAATGATGTTAAGAGCAATTAGTTTTTCAAGTGACTATTATCATTATCAGTATTTCCGTATGAGCAGATGGCACTGGAGTGGGTAAGTAGGGTAAAAAATACCCATATAGAAAATTCCCAATGGAAACAAAGACAACTTCTATGAAAAGCCAGGGAAATGTGGATGAATGGGCTTCCCTTTCCAGGACAGTGGCACAGGCCAGCAAGACCTCAAAACTGAAGACTATTAGCCAGGCCTCAAGAAATAAAGCAGTTCATGAATAGTATCGATTACAATTGCCCCAGTAACCCGTAGTCCACATGTACATTGCAATGCAGGTAAAATCATTGGCTGTTGGGATATTGGCAGTTAGAATATTTATTTATTATTACTATTATTTTGAAAGAAGATAATATAGCTCTCTCTGCCAGGGTCTTCACAAGGATACATCCTAGAAAAACAAGAAATCTGGTGGGTGAATAAATAACTTGCTTCCCTCTCACCTGATTGTGTCTGAACCAATATTTGATTGTATTTTATTCAGGGTACTTCAGCTTCAAGAAAAGCCAAAGCTCCCTTGCAGATTGAAATGGGGCTGAAGAAAGCTACTCATTTCTTCTGTTAGTATAGGAAATACAGACAGTTTGGTTGAGACTTCAGGGCCACGCTGATTTTAACCCATCACTCCAACTCTTGCCCCAGAACAGGTTAGCTGGTTAGCTTTGGTGATAAAAAATACCAGCATCATTGCATCAGTACCTTTGACCAACTGTCTCTTCTTATCTAAAGGTATCATTTTATTTGTTTTTCACGAGATTCCTGCAGGACCCTAGTCCTCTTTCTCCTTAGTTCCTCAGTGGGACACTTTCACAAGGCAGGCAGATCTCAAAATATCTACATATGTGCAACAAGGGTCAGATAAGTAATGACAGCCAAATCAGATTTTAGGTAAACCTAATATGCTGTTAAAATAATAACAGCTAAAACAATCTAAATCTGCAACTAACTTCCATTATGAACCAAGCCCTAAATTTTACTCAAGAACTGTCAGTGTAGTCTAGTTACTGTTTAGAATTATGATGGGGAGAGGAAAAAGTGAGGAAACTACTATTTTTAGTTATTCCTGTTGCTCTCAGTTTTTATTTTATTCACTGAAGCTTGAAAATTTGGATTCATTTCTACCTGTGAGCATTATTGGAGGCACAGCCTCTATCCAGAGGTGCAGAACCAACATGGCCTTCAGACACCCCTTGAGCTTGTCTCCTTGTACCAGGACAACTCAAGGAACATGACTTGAAAGTGGGCCAGGGTCTGGGGGTGTCTATGACAATGCAGAATTAACTGATACTTAAGGAAAAAAAATGTCTTTAAGAAACGCAAGCTAGGCTAAAAATAGTAACATGAGAGATTTTCCCGACATTAAAAAAAAAAAAACCTCCGGAGTTTTTAACATCCATTCATCTATGTAGTTATTCTACAATCCATCTAAATCCATCCTTTGTCTCTAATATTAAAAGTCCCCTGGTCAACAATTTTGTTGGTTTTTAAAATATTATTTTATCCATAAATTTGCATTTTGTCTTTTTCCTTAGATGTCATTAAATCAGTATGCACTTATCAAAATATCCACCAAAATATTATTATTGTAAATATTTTTAACATGAAATTCATTCAGAACAATAACCAAACCAAACAAATCCCCCGGTGGCATAAAACCTCAAATCTCCAGTTTCTCAAATCTCCAGGAGAATTCCTGCAGTGAAAACAGCAATACTTGCACAGACAATATAAACTGTTACTCTGCTTGAAAAGTCACAAGGGACTACACAGGAAGAGCTGACTCTATATTGCTGTTTTCCTTTACAGTTCTAAATACAGGGACAACTTTCACTGTGGAGCTCTGACTCACATGAATGTTTTGCAATGGAAGCCAGTGCATTCAAAACCACTTAAAAGAAAATTATGTGATCATCTTGCCATTGCAACATGATTTACATTTTTGTGGCCCATTTGCTATAAAGGTCCACTAAAGCACTGGAAGATATTAAGTCTCTTTCTGGAGTTGGTCTGACTTCCTTTTTAGTTGGGAGCTGTTTCTGGGCACATAAGGGACACACTTAGAAAAGCAACATTATTAACATACATACTTAAAATCACAAGTGCACATGAACTCCTGAACCCTATAAACTTACGAAAGTTAACAAAATTGCAATAGTGAATTTCAGATCAAACTTCTCATTTGGGGTATGTATCTAAGAAATAAGTGCTAACACTTTTGTAAAAAAAAAAAAAAAAAAAAACTGTGGAAACACAGTGATTTATGAAATATTCCAAGTCCAGAAGGATCACTTTTTCTCATTTTTTTCTATTAAAAATGGTTCATTGTCCATACTTAGTTACATATGTCATTTAGAATCCACTTACTGTTAGATGCTGGAACAGCCACGCCCTCATGATATTTGTGGCTACTTTGGGAAAGATGCCACGCTTTTTGTGACGCTTTTTGTCCTTATCAGGGTCATCATCGTCACCTGTGCTGGGGGAAGCTACACTGTTGTCCAAGCCATCACCTGCAAACATAGTGAATCAAATTTTGACTGATGCTACCTTGACATGCTTTATTCAAATAGAATGCCTTTGGATATAAACAAAACCAAAAGAGCAATTTAAATGATTAATAGTTTCTTTGGTACTGTTTCTTCTTTCTTTCTTTCTTTCTTTTTTCCAAGACAAAGAGAAAGAACAAGGCCTAGGCTCAAAAGTAGTCAAGTCTAAAGAACTTCTTTCAAAGAACCCTGCTAAAGGTCAAAGGGAATGGAGGGAAATACCCAATCCCTTTGTGGCCTTGTTGCCACAGTAATTATTCCAATATATATAGCTGAGACAGGTTAAGTGTAACTCCTACTGGGGAGTTAAATATGGTGGCAGGCATTAGCAGTGGTGCTGTCACTGCCTGGGTATTCAAATCCCACATTTAGTCATTGACGTCAACTTGTGAGAAGATGCATTTAAGATATCAAGTATTTCCACAAGTGATCTATCTTAAGACTAGTTAAACTAGGACAGGGCAATGTAGGTAACCTATCATATCAGCAGTTTGACATAGGAATGCTTCAAATAGAATATAATTTTTCTTATAATAGAGAAAGCATCACATTTGGTAAGGGAAAAACCTCTGACATAGTTTCTTAATTAGAAAACAATTACTATTTAAATCAAATGAAGTAATGCTAAGTTAACATTAAACTGGCATTTTATTACACTAATAGTCCAGGCAGTTTCTAAAATTTATTCTAGATTTAAATTTTTCTCACTGAAAAGTCACCTGTTAACATATTCCTCTATACTTGATTCTATTTCTGTACTGATTTTTGTTATAACATTAAATTGTTTCTTCTAGAAAATATTTTGGCTCTGTGACACAATGAAGTAAGAAATTTAAATGTTTCTTTTATAATGCCATATTTAATAAGAAAAAAAGTCAACCTATGTCATCACACTGTCCAAAATAAGTCACAAGGTGCAAATGGAAAGTAGGCATTTTTTCTTGTCTTGGCACCAAAGTCAAAAGGGAAAACAATAATGAACTAAAACCCATGACACTAAAAAGTAGCTTAGCTCTGTCAACCATCCTCCCCCAGTGAGCCAAAGCTCCCCCTGGTACCCCAATTCTCTATGGAAACTATTGACTTTTAGACACTAACAGGTTGGTCTAGGCCCAAAAGGAAGAGCTATAGCAGGCAGGCTTAGAAATGAAGTAACAAATACACCCAAAAGCACATTCACTGGGTAAATAAGTCACTGGAGAGTAATATACATGGCCCAAAGAACCTGATACTTTGGTGGGACAAGTTTCCTGTACACAGCCTCAGATTCATTAACATGGCTTCATGAATTCCTGTATTTCTCATTTCTCTTATTGGGTCCTACATCCCAAAAAAATCCCTCTATTTTGATTTCAGTTACTTCCGTCTAATCTGTAGTAGTTATATTGCAACTAATAAATTGTTTTTAATAACTCCCTCCCCTGAAAAAAATTAAGTTGTCCCTCAATTTTTTTTTCTAATTGTCTTGACTTATACCGAGCTAAAGTTTAAAAACTTAGTTGGATAAGGAACTGACGAATTCCAACATGTCTACTATTATTAAGGCATATGCTACAAATGGAAGCTTGCAAACCTTTTCTTAGTTTAACCTATTATTTATTTAAAGTCTATATTTTTATTGTATTTAAAATCCATCTATGTTGTTAATGTTCCACAGAATCATAGCTTGTGTTCTCACTGGAAAAAATTATGAAGACCCACAACTCCAAAGCCATCATTGGATTAATGAAGAAAGTGTTGTGTTCTTGGGCCCAAGGTCGTGTGGCCAGGCATAGAGTTATTGGGGTCTGTGCTGCATAGACCCCCACATCCTTGAATCAGTGCCCCTTCCACTCCACCAAACTCTGTATTTGCATAACCAAGTGTTTTATGAGAAGTCCCCTTGGATTTACCTAATAAATTCTTTGTAAGTCCAGTATTTAAAGAGGCTTTTTATTCAGAGAAGCAATTTACCATATAAAATAACAATTCATTAAAGAAACATGAGAAAAGAAAACAACTCAACAGCATTTAAAATTTCAATGGGCTAATCCACTTTCAATATGCAAAAGGTAACCAAAGGAAGGAAACATATGACTTGATCATTGATTAAAAATGAAAAGTTTATAACCTAACAATGCTGTTTTCCACTACCTCTCCATGATTATTTTCCACCTTAAAAAAATAGCCTTTTTATCCATCTCAAACTCCTTCAGATTAATTTAGCAAGCAATGCCTAGTGCCTGCCTAGAAGAGAATTCATTGATAATTTATGGAAATATCTACTATAATCCAGCAGAGATGACTTTTTTCCAGCTTTGTGCATCAATAGATAATCAAGGCCTTAAAGCAACCTTAGCTTCCCATTACCTCAGGCAAAAGAATTCCTGAAAGCGTGCCTTGAGGGCACCTGAATTATATACTCCATTAGGAGAGGAAGGCTTTCTGCATTCCATGTGTAACACTCACCAGAACCTTTCCTGTTTATTTCTGCTGTATGAAAGCAGAAGCATTAGGAACAGAATTTTTTAAGTGAAGACTTATGTAGATACAATGGAGAAACCTTTCAAGCAGGAGCCAGATCACCCCCTTCAGTCCCTGGCAGTGACCTCTCCCGAATAAAAGGTTTCTATTACATCATTAGCTCAAGCCAAAAACAGCCTTGGCTTAATGCACAGTTTGTTCTTCCTACTGTTTTTAGGCAAATACAGCTACTTTACTCCCATCTGGGAGGGAAATTACACTGCTGGGTTGTAATCTAAGACAAGATTTTCATTGGAAGCAAATGCTTTCAATCCAGTGTAAATACTGGTGCATGTTCAGAAAAGCCTAAAACAATAAACCCTGCTCCTTTCCGACACAAGTTAGGGAAATGGAGAAGATGGGGAAGGAGAGGAGCATAATAAAACAGACTATTCTAAAAGCAAACACTTTCATAGATTTTAATAAATTGTTTAACCTCTTCCACTTTCTCAAATTGAAAATTGATCTGGAAATGTCTCAACCTCAGAGGAAAGTCTAAATGGTCAATTGTACCTTTAGCATTTCCATTCACTCTGCAATTTGATACAGTCACCTCCGTGCGGTCTCCGGAGGATTTATTTCCTTTTTTTATTTTTGAGATCACTAAACAAACTTGGAGAACCGCCGGCCTACCACACGGCAGCAGGCAGCAGCTCTGAACCACATTTGTAAAATGTCAGCAGTGACTTCATTCCTGGAGCTGACTTCTCCTGCCGCCAAATGAAGGCAAACTGAAAAGGTGGAAATAATCATAAAAATGATGCTAGTCCATAAACAAGCTTACAGCCTCATTAGGATAGCAGTAGGCTCCAGTGGGTGATTTATGCTCGTTTTGCTGATGCTATGAGGAAATGCCATAGGGCGACTTTAGCCAACTGCTAATGGTTTCTGACAGCTTCTTAGCAACTAGTGCAAGCAACGTTGTGGCGTTTGCTAGTGACAGAAACCGAAAATGTCATATTATCTGCCCATGTGTCATGAAGTCCGTGTGGCAATTAACTAGCAGGCCAGTGACTGAGGGGCCAGAGGCTCCTGAAAATGGCCTTTGGCTATGCAGAGGCAGCCGCCGGGTGCTGCGCGCACACTGGCTGCACATATGCAACATTCTAATGCCGAAATCCACTCCCTGCAACTTCCCCAGCTCTGATGAGACCAGGCGGCTTAAATCCCTTTCTTCCCCCTCACTGAAGTGAAACTCTGGGTTCCTCTCTCTCTCTAGGCACAGGCTCTGGCGTTATCAGAAGATTCCAAAGTGATCTGCTTTGATATGATTATCCGAATGGTTCCTTAATTGGCAATACCTGGTGCAGTGTCTCTCTGGCGCTGGATTCAAAGGTGCTAGCTACGGTATTTTTCTGCTCTCTCACAAATGAGTCTAAAAGGATTTAAGATCACTGAAGCAGACTCATTGCCTGTCAGATTTCGAGGAGCAGAGGAACTCTGCACAGCAACAAGACACTATTTAAAAAACACCAGGCTTCTAACAAGCAGGGGGAGAATCTTGGCCACACTTTTCAGTTTCCGAGCTATCAAAACCATGCACTATATGTCAAACTGTCAAACCTTTCAGCGTGGGCCATTTGCCCTTTCAAATAATATTTAAGAATTGTTTTTACAAAATTTTATAGGCCATGGTCTAGTGAAAGAGGCCAACCAACAAAGAAAGGAATTTGTACTACAATTCGTCTACGGACAATTTCTTGTGAGACCTGGGCCTGTCCCTACGGAGCGAGGCAGGTGACCTGTGGCAGCTCCCAGGCTGTCAGAGAGCTCAGATTTCAAACACGCTCAACTCAAACATCCCGAGTCGCCTATTTAAGCATGCCCAGGCATTTAGACTGTGCTATCTCGTGCCTTTCAAGGCAGGATAAAGCGGCATTTATCGTATTCAGGCCATTCAATGGGTCAGACTGACCGTGTCAGCAGGGGCTCCTCTCCGGCAGGTCAAAGCCCTGCTCCCATTTTTCTCTCCCTACGAACTCCCTCTCTCCTCCCAGGGCTGCCATTCCCAAAAACCTCCTCAGAGGGAGGCAAAAACAAAACCCAAAACAGCGCCTGAGATTTACATCACAACTGATCGGAACTTCCCGTGTCAGTGGGCCATCAGGTAAAAAATGAAATGGGTTGTCTGTCAGAGGGTCCTTTATGTCACAGAGGCAAAACTCCTAATTAGGGATATGAACTTTCAACCGCCAGGGCAAATGAACGTGTAAGGTTGTGGACCCTCTTGTTTTGCTAGAAGCCAAGTTGGAAGCCACACTAGCTTCAAGATCATTTTCATTTGCAATTTTGTATGGCGACTCCATAGTTTGAGGCCATGTCCTCTTTTAAACCTTGAGTTTTCTCCTCTTCTAGTGTTGAGGAATAGAGTATTAATCCCAAAGTGTACCTGGGCTCAAAACCAAGGCCATTTATGATTGTATCTTTTGATTCTGAGTAAATTCTCTTGTGCCTTGAAAGTT